ATATATATATATAAAATTATTATTATTTTAATATTTTTAGTCTGCATTTTCCCAAACCTTATCCTGCTATAAAACTCAGCTCCAATTTGCCGCTTGGACAGAGTGATTATTCCTGGAATAATGTATTTTTGATTTTGTCAAGGCAGTCTCAGCATCTGATTTGATGTCGTATTTAATTTAGCTCTCTGGCAGCTGTCAAAGTGTTTTATTAAAAGCACTGTTTACTCATAAGGACGTGGCTTTGATCAAGCACGCTCTTTCACACTGCTATTTTAACTTCTTTAGAGTCCCACAGTCATTTCTGCATGCACTGGACGGAGCGAACAGTACACCAGAGGGTGGTTCGGTAGATGGTGTCCAAACTCCGGTTGAGTTCACTCATGGAGGCCTGCCAAGACTTTGCTAATGAGCACTTTTAACCTCTAATATTGCCCAAACGGCCTTCCTATGCAGAGACAGATGAAAGGCTTCTGTAAAGTCCATTAATATCTGTTCAAAAAAATCTGATTAGCCTAATCGTGGCTTTTTGAATTAGGATTAAGGGCTAGATTCTGAGATGGGTTGAGTCGCCACTGCTTGTACAGCGTGGGAGCTGATATGGAAAATCTGATAAACGTGTTTTACTCGTGTAACTTGAGATTCTTATGTCAGTCAACTTCCCAAGTGCCGTGTCCTTTGACGCAGCGCTTGACCTTTCGCAACCAGATTTTTGTCCCTACCGCAAAGGAATTAGCTCCCCTATAATATTGAATGTAGTACTGACAGCCTAATGTGCACCAGTGGCAATTGTGTAATGGATGCCAGGATTATGTGCACTCTTTGACTTGTGTCGTTTTACAGAGATTACATTTCTGCAGCAGATCATGGCTGATGGTGGATAATAGAAGGGTTTTGTAGATGAGGGGGGATAATCATTAAAGCTGATTTAACTTTAATATCATGGTATTTGTTTTATGGGGATCATATTATGAATCGCATCAGATTATATTGTTGATCCTTCTTTAACCGTGCACCCTATTATTCATTCAATCTCACTGTTATGTTACATATCTTCATTTTGAATAGTGGCACAGTTTTCAGGAATCGCCATGCAAAACATATTTGATGTTTGCAGCTCATTTTATGCTAAGTAGCACTAGCTTAGCAATGACATCCTCTGTCAGGAGTGCACTCACGGGGCCCTCTCACGGTGTTAGAGGAGGTTGAGGGCAGCTCTGCTTTGTGAACTGTTTTGCCGACTCGAATTTTGGAAAGAAGCCCAGTAGCACAGCAGAAAAATGTCCATAGGTGCAAAATCTCAAACTGCTAAGTTATGGTTCTTACCCGCAGGAAAGTGAAAACACTAGTGCGTTTCTTATGTCAATTGCCATCAATCCTTGAGAGAATACACGAGGTCTGGAGCACATATGCATAACCAATTCTCCAAACACAGCAGCGTGTGCTTCATTGCTCAGTGTTCGCCTTTCTGTGGGAGTGATTTGTTGGTAAGGTGTAAGGAGTTAACACTTCGATGAGCAAACAACAACAGAATATCCAAAAATACCTTTTGTGGTTTGCGCTCTCTTAGTGTCTGGTTGATCACGCCTGGTATGAGTTCATAAGACTGCAGACTGAGCAACTTGCACTGTGTCACTCGATGGCGACTTGAAACCCACAGTGCCATAAGGGCTGTGCATAAGGATTTATCAAGCCACGGGCATCCATCTGCCACGCTTCGTACTGGAAAAGACAACAGTCCGATTGTTCCTGTAAAATAATGACTCACCAAGAAGTTTTTTGAGATCCCAAACCTCATTTACTTCCTGTCTTCTGTTCAGCTCATAGGCATGTTGTTTTTTTGTTGTTGTTTTGTTTCTGACAGACTTTGGAAGGCATCTGGAATCCGAGCAACAAGGCTTGCTGCGGTCCTGTGGGAAGTGTGGCGCAGTGGAGGGATCGGTGCCATAAAGGAAGCACCCAGCTGGGGCATTTGCCAGCAAAACACTGAGTACTGAACTTATCTGGGACCTTCAGCAGCGGGCGGTAAGAGGAGGAGGAGGAGGCCATGTTGACCGCACGCCTGCTAGTCCTCGCCAGCCTCTTCGCACCAGCCGCACTGGGTGAGTTTGGCTCATTAAAGCAAGTGTTTGTGTCTGTGTGGATGTGCAGATGCGGGCACAAATCATGCCTCTTGCGTTTCCTGATTGGCATGATTTGAAGCTGTATCAGAATTTCATGTGTTCACTACTTAAGTGCCAGATTCTGTCAGCCAACTGCAGTAAAAGCCTCTGACTTTATGTCTGTCTTGTTTTCGCTGTCTATGCAGCTCCTCTCACTAATTAGCAGTTATTTTTACTCCCAAAACTCGCAGAAACTTTTTTTCCCTACACTTTTCTTCTTTTGATTTTTCTGTCTGTTTTTTTTTTTCTGTGATTTTTCGATCTATTTTTCGATCTGTCCCTCTTACTCTTGGCTCCATCTCTTGCTCTCCTGGCAATAGAAAAATGAACTGAAATTATTTTCAAAGAATCACTAACGCCGCGCTGGCTTTGTGGCATACGTTTAGGATTGTGAAAGTTGCAAGAATTAGGGAGTAAGGGAAAGAAGAAAAAAGGAGATCTTTTATCACTTCATGAATTAAGATCTTAAGATTAATTTGCAAGGTCTTTCTTTTACCACGTCTCTGTAAACGGAAATCGCAGCGTTTCCCCTTGGCCTTCTGTGGATTGTTTCAGAGGCAAAGTAAATGAAGTCATTTAAATTCAGATTAAAAGTAGTCAGTGGTGGTGGTCTGGTAGCTCGGGGTGTGGATGCGGCTTGGGTTTAGATGTAGGGAGTGACGGGGAGTGGGGCAATGGCCCATAAAAATGTTAATTTAATATGGCGAGAACCATTAATGGGAGATTTGAGGCTAATTGAATTGTTTTTGTGCTGTGATATCTGTGGATGGGATGGGATTGTGTGTGTGGGGGGAGGGCAGGTAAAAAGCACACTTCTTCGTTTTTCCTTAATGCTCAGAAGAAGGTCAGGAGGCCAACAATACGTTACAGGCTACATCCGTCTTTAGAGAGATCCATTGAGTAAAGGTTTAGGCATTACCAGGTAGTCGAACTGAAAATGAAAATTCATTTTTGCAAAAGAAAGGACTATTTATAAAGCTGTCTCGACTCCCTCCTTTGAGGAATGCAGGATGAACTCGGTGCTGTGTGGGTAAGAGCTGTTGATGATTGCCACTATTGAAAGTCTGGTGGGAAGGAGTGCTAATGATGGCGAGCTAGGCTTCCTTTTTCCCAGTGGAGCACTGTTAGCCTAGCGTTCTAGGTCCTGTTTTCGGGTTGAAATACAAACTTGTCGGCACAATGGGACCTCGCAAATGTGTAGTGGCACTTGGTTTAAATAATTGGTGATAGTAGTTGATAGCTACTGAAACGTGGGCTTGTTAAAAGAGGGAGGCGTGGGACAGGGAGCATTTTTCTCTTGCATTTTTGCAACAATGCGAGTGGCCACTGGGACCGAGGCTGACTGGTAGCACTACGGCTACCTCCTACTGTACTACCCATGGGGGCCACTCACATGATCATAAGCATTAAGTTTTAACACCAACTCCAAAAGAGGGTTCATTGTCATTTAGGTTAATTTGAGAATTTAAAAATAAAAAATATCAAAGTGCTTTAACTCCACAGCTGATCACAGATGAGTAACGATCAAAACACGTACTGATAGAAATAACGGATTCGTGAGTTTCCCCTGAATGCCGGCAGGTAGCTAACACATCCAGACATGAGTATGGGACAAGTTTACCCTAAGCCTTTATATTCGTTCCTTAAAAAATATAACCTTCTGAAAATCGGATGATTATTTTTGATAATAAAACAAGTAAAACAAAGTGAATAAGAGTGCATTTGGATAATAAAAACCAGGGTGCCTTGCTCAATTAGAACTAAAGGCAAGCGAGCAGCTTTTTATAACAGTGTTTTAAAAAGGTGGGTTGCTCCAAAGATCAGGAGCCGCCATTGAAAATGCTCTATCTCTATCTCTGCTTTTATGTCTGAATCTAGCAGTTTTCAAGAACAGCCTAAAATATTTATTAGCGAGGGCTGTTTGACATCATAAAAAAATGATATACATAGACAACAGGAGCCATTTCCTCCTTATAACACAACTTATTCTCTATTGTATCAAAGTAGATTTTGTTAAAATAAATGACAGTAGTAAAATAAAATTCAGTAAACTGGTGTGCGATCAAGCCTCAGCATAAATGTCAAAGCACACACACTAATGCTTAACTAATACTGTTACGAGCAGCACAAAGGCACTCATATATCCATATACAAGCAGCCATATTTAGAGCAGACACTCTGTGTGGTCACTGTTGTTAGTCCCTTTGACCTTTCATTTGATTAGCATTGACTGTAAAGTGCTGCTTAAAATAGATATGTCAGTCAAGCTGCGCAGAAGCACCTCTTGGGCTATCTGTGTTAAATTCTGCCTGCATCAAAATCGGCTGCTTTTCACCTGCAATTAATTCTCTTAAAGCGGCAGCTTTACTGGAGGAATCTCCCGTCTTTGGAATGAGAGCGTTTGCACGTGTCGTCATCAGAAAGATGCATAACGATCGTCTGCCGGTTGGACAAACAACTGTAGGGTTACACAGACGCAGCCCATTAGAAAGCGTCCCCGGGGGTGGAGGTGAAGTGGTTGAAATAAGGCAGACATCCGAGAAATGTGGCTGAAACGTGTCAGCTGTAGACGCCCTGTGACGTTCAGTTTATGGAAAGGAAGTAAGGTCTGTCTTTTGCGTGTTTTAGCGCCGCCATAAATCCAGTATACTTCACATTTTTTGAAGTGTTTTTCCCCCCAAGCATAACACGACTGCATTTTCCTTTCTTTTTCTTTTTTCCTCTCGGCTGCATTTATTTTATGTCAGTATGGTGTGAATAAGATTGGAGAAAAGCGAATTCATCAGTCTTAAAATCTGTTTGCGACCATTTGAAAAAATGGTAAGCTGCGGGGCTCGCGTGATTTCTCGTAAACGGGCCGAACCATGCGAAAACACCTTCACAATCCTTTAAATCAATCATCCTGCCCTCTCTGTGATCAACCTCTCCTTCTTCGGTGACATCGAACTCATAAACCACCGACTCCGTAAGGCAAAAAAACAGCCGCACTGGTGCATTTCGTAGCAGATTTAGTGGCTGACACCCTGTAAATAATTTGACATGTTCATCAAGAGCAATCATTTAATACTCAGCCTCGTTCTGATGCTATGAGCAGACGTGGCCAGATGTTGCCAGTGAACTGTTTTGCAGCTGGGGGAAGCTTGAGAGGGAATATTCACCACAATGTCATTGTGCATGTTTCACCCTGAGAGTGTTGGAAATGTGTACTCTGGGGGATGCTGGCCTACTTTGGCATCTATATTCCCTTTTGTCTGAAAGTCAGGCACACGCAACCTCGTGCGCGCACTTGCTGACTAGCGTCAAGCAAAAGAAACTAGCACCGTTCCCACTGACACACATGCAAAGTCGCACTTTTAATAATCACAGTACACATGCACGCTGATGCATTCGCCACTTTAGCCTAAGAGGCTGAAAGAGAAGCCCAACAGTGGCCTTTCTTGTCTTTTTTTCTTCTTTTTTTGCTGTTGAGCAGAATGAGGAATATTTCTGGACAACCGTCACAGCAGCGAGATTAAAAAAGAAAAGAAAGTCAACGCAGAGAACGCAGCTTAAGGAGCGTTAGGGATGCGTGGCTGTTTGTACGTGGGTGGCTCTTTGTTTGCTTGTATGCGAGTGTGTGTGCTTCCCTATCATCTTCTGGTTTGTGCGCGAGTGGAGCTACAAAGTCCGTGCCAGATTAATAAAAAGTTCCATCCCTGATGCTGTCACGGGGGCTTGAAAAATAGGCAGAACGCAACCTTGGCGTTGTTTCGGTAAGATCAACTAACAAAAGGAAAAAGCAATGTCCCGAACACTCGAGCCATGCCAGAGCGGCGCATTAATCATGCGTTTCTGTGCATGTAAAATCCTTTTGGATGACTTTTAGATTCATTAATACTGCCCCGTGCAATCGGAGACATCGCCGTGTTATAATGGATGACGGCTCAAGAAACAAGTTTAAGAGACGAAGAACATGAAGTCTGACTCTTGGTTGTACAGTCAGATACAAGCGCATGCATCAAGCGTGGAACCAGATATCATCCTGCTGGGTGAGGAGGGGCAGGGAGGGGTTGGTAGGTAATGAGGAATGGATGAGGCAGCAAGACAGATGTGTGCCTGCCACATCTGTTCAGCGTTTGTTAGGTGTTGCACTGGTAGGGTAGGTTTTTGTATCTTGCAGAACAATGTTGGGTAATTGGCAGTTCTGCAGATGAACATACATAACGTCCGTCTTGCCTTTCATGCATGCCTGCATTCTCTTGCAGGCCTTAAACAAAGCCTCTCTTTCTCACATTCCCGTATCATCATTAATATGCTAAGGTTAGCTGTGTCTAACCAAACAAGAGCATTAAACTCTGACGTCAGGCTCGCTGTTCCCGTACCCGATCCACTTAATTAATCTTCTACTGCCAGGGCACTGACTCCATCCGCCAAGGCATCCCTGGATTTGCCTAATTTGCTTAATTAATTAAACAAATGATTTATTTGAGCTCATATTTCAAAGCGGCAGAAAGTTCTTTGTAGAGCCTACTGAGGCATGTGCTGTTGTGTTGTGACTGCGAGATGCCTCTTCAAGCATTGCAAATAAGTGGGCTTTGGAGTGGGTGGATGTCAATCATTCATTTGCACCAGCATAATGTACATGCATATACAGCACTTTGGGGCAGGGATAAATTATATATGCATTAGAAGGCGACGTTAGATAAAGAAAAAAACCAAACAACAGGACTTTATTTAGACAGGCATTGTGTCGCTTTGGTAAGAGTAAATCGAGAGTTCGACGATTGTAGCTTTTGTACAGGAGTCTTCACTGAATGGTTTTTGTGGTATGAGGCAGGTATCGCCCTCACATGTAATAAGCAATCAAAAAACAAACATGTCTATTCATTATTTAAACTTCCAGGTCAAGCCAGTATTCAGTCCTTTTGAGTTTATCGAAAGAGCCCATTCCTATTATCTAC